TGTTTGGTGCAAAACTCTTACTTGGGGAAATACGCAGAACATTTCATGGAAATCTACTAGTCAGTACTGAAAGAGACCAGACCGCAGAACTTCAGCTGAAAAATCCCTCAACATTACTGAGGTAGCATTGTTGAAAAATTATGCCATACTTCATAATTAGGGGAGACTGAAACTGGCAGACATGCTGAACAAGTGAGCTTACTTCCTGGTTGCAAATCCAGGAAGAAGCCTCAGAGATGCCAGTTCAGTGACCAATGATTTTGGACTGAGCTGACAGCTACTGTCATATATACAAACACAGGAGAGTGCTATGCTAGGACACTTCCTCAGTGACACAATTAAAAAAAAGCTATGTTTAGGAAACATTGATTTTAATAAGGTGACCACAACTGGGCCACAGCTCTGCCCTAATCTGTTGTCAAACACACACGTTCGTTGCAGAGATAATTACTCATCACTCTTGTGCTAAATTGTCATTTTTTTATGTTCTAAAATGTCAAAGGTGTGTCAGTTGATAGATGAATGTTTCATGTTTCTGCTCGTTTTTAATATTTTCTGCTAATTTTGTTAATTCCATAAGAGAGAAACTAACCCCCGTAACCCCGGTGAAAGACAAAGTTTGACATTTTAAGGAAATGAGCTGTAGGTGATACAGGAAGAGGAGATGATGTGCCAGTTATGCAACACATTTTTTGGTTCATTCCTCAGTAGCTGTGAGCACACCCACTGTACTTTGAGCATTTGCATTAGCTAAATGTGTGACCTTTTGTGGCCTCCGTAGGTAATTCCGTTTTTCCGTTCTTTGGCAAATTGCACCATTTGGTCAGAAGCTGCTGGTGTCACAGAAATATGTACAAGGTGATGTGATGGTACTATTCCAGAAAGCAAACACTCGAGTGACATACAGAGGCAGGAAAGGTGGCATAACTTACCAGACTGTCAACTAGAAGAACATCCTGTTTGGGAGCCTCCTTTTGTTCTGTTAGTTTGACTTTTAATTGCTGTTTCCTTTCACCTTCTTAGCTAGTGTTAGGAAAATATTTTGCACTTTATCAACTGTTGAGATTTCCCAGTGTGTTAAAATCTAACCTCAAAGGGTCTCGATGAAACACTATGACACTTCTCCCACGGCATCAGTGCCAAAGGACCTCTTGTGCATATCTGTGAGATACAGTATCTGTGACAAAATGGCAATATTTGACACTGGGAATAAGAATAGACACCTGTATTGGATAATTATTAAAATTCTATTGTGTCAGGCTTACAATAGAAGAGCAAAGCACTGCAGTGATTATATTAGATGTCTAATTATAAATAAAGAATCTCTAAGACTCTCCTGTCCAGCTGGGAG